CGGGCAATGTGCAGGTCTGCACCCTAGGTGAGAGGTGGGCAGGTGTGCTCCAGCACAGGGACCCAAGGGGATGCACTGGGTCAGAAGGCAGGAGGTGGTTGGGTGATGGGATGAAGGAGTCATCCCATTCGTGGGATGGATGGGATAGTGGGAATACAGATGGACATGAGCTGATCACAGTACTGATCCCAGGAGCCCCCCTGAAGGATGCCAGCAGCTACCTGGCACCTGCTGTGGTCTCAGGCATGCTGGCTGGAGGAAAGAAGGAGGCGACCCTGGTAAATGCCATGCTGCTGGCCCAGGAGGCTGGCCTGAAGGTACACAGAGTGTCAGCCCAATGCCACCACATCCTATCCTTCCTTGGTATAAGCCCACAGGGCACTGTGCCCTCAGGGGACATCCCTGTAGGATGCAGGTGCTGAGTGGCCATCTCCCCCCACCAGGTCACAGCCTCCCATGGTGACACATGCACTGAGCCTGAGGGCTTGCTGCAGGTGGCTTTGCAGGGCACCCCGCACCGGGTAACAGGAACAGTGCAGGGCAGCACTCCGGTGCTGCGGGAGCTCAACGGGGTCACCTTCAAGCAGCCGGCACCACTGGTGGGCCCTCTCCTTATCTACAGAGCCAAAACATCTGAAACAAACACGCTGCCCACACTCGCTGGTAAGCTTCTGGTGTCACCACAAGCAAAGGAACAGCTGGAGGGATCTCCACAATCAGCCTGGAGTCAAAAGGAAGACAATGCTGACAGGGCATTGTGTGCAGAGACAGGAGGGGTGGTTTGGTTACAGGGCTGGGGAATTGGTAATGCAGTGGCACTGGCTGCCCAGGGGTTGGTGGGGTCACCGTCCCTGGAGGTGTTCAAGAACCATGGAATTGTGGCAGTGAGGGACATGGTAGAGGTGGGCTGGGGTTAGACTTGGGGATCTGAGAGGTCTTTGCAACTGTAATGATTTCACAGTTGTATGACTTGGGGCAAAGGAAAGGAAGAACATCATAGAGGGGATTCAGGGTAGGCAGAGCCCTGCTATTCATGATCCTACACCACTGTGGGGTCCAGGTACCAGAAAACAGGCTGCAGTTCTGACCTCTTTCCTCCTGCCCAGGGCTGCTGGGGAAAACAGGGATCCAGCTCCAGTCCTACCACAGCTCCAGTGCAGTGTCGGGGGAGCAGTGGAGCATAGCCGGGCTCTCAGCCCCACTGTCTGAGCTTGCTGGCCTGAAGCCATGCACTACAGAAGTCTTCCAGCTCCACCTGTAGCCGCCCCTTGACAGGGAAGGACCTGGAGCCTCCAGCACCTGGGGGAGCATCGTGCTCAATAAAGCATCCAGGAATGAGCATGCTGTGCCTTGTCCATGCATCCCTACCTTGTGGTGTCCTTCCTATCCATCCCTAAACCCTTCTCGATGATGTCGCTCATACCCAACTCCACATCATTTCCTGCAGACTCTGTTCTTCCTGGCTCCATCCCCAGTGCTGCCCCCACCACCTTCTAGCACTTTTTGCTCAAGGGTGCAAAGGTCTTTCAGGCTCTGCTGCCCTGCTGAAGTCCCCTCTGGCCACAGCCTGGGCAGTGCTCCAAGATGGGCTGAGCCTCCTACGTCACCCCACTTCTACCCATGGAAGCTATCCCCTGGGGATGCTGGCAATTGTGTATTGCCACCTGTGTTGGATCCAAATCATTAGGCAACCTGAGTATACGTGCCATTCTCCTCAGGCACATGTGGTGTACAGGGATAAATCTCACCTGGCACGGAGGTGATTCAGGATGGGTTTAGGGGCAGGAGGGGAATACATGGCACTGGGTAATGTAGACTGCTTTGCAATAGGGAGCCAGAGCAGAGGTATTGCCCTTGCATCCGTGCTTTATTCCCCACACTGCCTGCGTTTTCGCAGAAAACACTGCTTGCTCCGGGACCCGGATGGCTGCATTCACCCCTGTGCCTGTACGTCCCCCCGATGGCTGCCCCTCTCTGTGCCCTACACGGGCTTCCTGGCGTACTGCCGGCGGTACTTGTCGTCCACCCGCTCCAAGTACCAGGTGCCGGGGAACAGGTCTGCCTGGGAGCCGTGCGGAGTGTGGTTGGCTGTGGGGAGAGGACGTGAGGCTCAGTGGGGCAGCCAGACCCCGGCAGCAGGGTGCCCCCCAGCCCTGCTCACCCAGGTGATGGGTCTCCTCCCGCCGCTTCATGATATCGGCAAAGTCCTGTGGGGCCACGCGCTTGCGGGCGTCCAGGCGGGTGGGCAGATCAGCCAGGCTGGAGAGCAGCTTGTCCAGGGGGGAGCCTGGTGTGAGGAGACCACGGATGAGACACCACCCATCTGTGCCCTCCCGGCTCTCGGTGCCCCTGATGTGGGACTCACCCGGAGCAGCATCTTGCGAGACACGGAGGGAGAACATGCTGGCGGCCAGCCCTGAGCCGTAGGAAAAGGCACCGATCCTGGAGCCGGCCAGGTCCTGAGCCGAGCACCTGCAGCCATTTGAGGTGAGGGGTTAGAGGAGATACAGGGCTCGATGCACCTCAGCCAGGAGGGCCCTGGCAGGCTGGGCCAGATTAAATTGCAACCATTGCAGGAGGAGATAAGGGAGGCTGTGCTGCAGGGGACAGCAAGCAGGGAACAGTTGGACACAGCAGGGGCTGGGCGGGTGTCTGCCCCCACCACGTCCCAGGGCCGTACCAGGCACTGCAGCCCTGCACGAGGCAGCGAGTGGCTCAAGGATGGGCTGACAGACACAGCAGTCGCACCGCCCTCGTGCCTGGCTGTTCCCATGGCTCCTTCCCAGCCAGCAGTGGGGGATGGCCGTTCTCTGGTCATGAAAAGGGGGTTTTCATCCCATAGCACTGACAGAAGGGCTTTATGCACTCCAGCAAGGCGGCATGGAAACGCTGGCCAGGGGACAGCACTGGGCTGAGTGAAGTGAAAGCTGGGCCATTCCCAAAATGGCGTCCTCCACAATGACATCCCACCAAAACAGCAAACCCTCAAATGGCGACCCCTCAAAATGGTGACCCCCTGATGCCAGCGCTGCAGACTCACTGAGCCAGGAGCGAGGCCAGGCAGCCATACATGGACGGCGTGTACATGTTGCCATTGCGGGAGGAGAGCAGCAGGGAGGGCTTGGTCTTCTGGTTGAAGATCTCCTGGCTGGCCGTCTGGAAGGCCTTCTCCACCTCCTTGCTGGTGTAGGTGTCCTCCAGCTTCATGCCGCTGCATGGAGAGAGGCGGGCTGTAAGCATGCACGGGAAGTGAGCAGAGGCATCCTCACTGCACTGAGGGACACCCACCGGAAGGGCTGCAGCCCCTTGTAGAGTCCAGAAGCCGTGTCAGGGCTGGGGGCGGCCAGGAAGTCGTTCAGCAGCAGCCGCCCCACTGACTTCTGCACCAGCTTGCAGAAGGGTGTGTGGAAGATGATGAACTTGAAGTCATCAAGGGTGAAAGGCCGCTGGATGCCAGCTGGAAGGCAGAGCAGGAATGTCAGTCGCCATCGGGTGGGATGTGCGGCCATCCGAGTGCCACAGCATCACCCCTCACCCTGCTGCCACTGGCTCTCTGCCTTCCTGCGGTACACGGCGTAGCAGCGGTCCAGGGCCCGCAGGTAGCACTGGATGGAGAGGGGACCATCCACCACTGGGTATTCTGAAGACAGGTCAGGCTTGTAGAAGTCATAGGCGTGCTCCATGTGCGTTCCCCGCAAACCTGGGGACACAAGTGAGAGCTGTGTGTTGGGGATCTGCTCGCGGGTCCTAACCACCATGTCAACCCCACCTTTGGCCCAGTCACAGCCAGTCAGATCCCCATGGAGCACTGACCTCTCTCCAGCACCAGAGGGGCGTTGGGTCCCACCAGCATAGCAATGGCACCGGCACCTCCTGTGGGCCGTGCGTTCCCCGTTGCGTAGACAGCAATGTCCCCACACACTACCACAGCGTAGCGTCCTGCAAGAGGACAGCAGGGATGACAGTAGGTGGGGCATCCCCATCCATCCCGTGGTCCCAGTACAGCCCACCACTCACATCCCCATCCCCTGGCCTACATGGGTGAGAAAGAAAGGTGGAGGGATGACAGTAGGGCAGCATCTTTCCCTCATGCCCCAGTACACCCCCCCCACACTCAGGCACCCCCCAGCCCCATGCCCACCGTCCCAGGCACTGGACTCGACCCAGGAGGCTGCGTTGAAGAGCGAGGCTGTGCCGCCATAGCAGGCGTTGGTGGTGTCAATGCCCTCCACATCAGTGTTGCCTGACTCGCGGAAGAGCTCCATGAGGACGGTCTTGACGGCCTTAGACTTGTCGATGACGGTCTCAGTGCCCACCTCCAGGCGGCCAATGGCGTCCCAGGAGAGCTGCCCACGCTCCACCAGCCTCTGCACCACCGTCAGGCACAGCGAGTTGATGTCCTCGTGGGCAGCACAGAAGCCCATCTGCTGCTGGCCCAGGCCACGCGTGTACTTGCCGGCCTCCACACCGTCATAGCGCTCCAGTTCAGACTGCTCCACATATTGTGCAGGGAAGTACACCTCCAGTGCGAGGATGCCCACGTCCTTGGGCCACGTGCCTGTGCCGGCTGCCGCTGCAGTGCTGGAAAGACTGCGAGGCAAAGGGAGCAGTGGGGGTCCTGTGCTGGGCACCACTGAGGCTGCCTGGGCCCCACAAGCGCTTGCACCCTGCTCCTTGACCCCACAGAGTCCCCCGCTCCCCAGCACGCATCCAGCTGACTGCCAGCCCCCCGAAGCCCCCAGGCTTTGCCCACCCCACAGCTGGGCACTCACCATGCCTGCTGCATGGCTGCAGGGTGTACCCGTGCCAGCCCCCGCCTCGCTCCCCAGCACCGCGCAGCGCGGCTGACCAAGCGCAGCATCTTCAGCCCAGACGGACGGACAGAGAGACAGACACAGGGATCGGCTTGGTGTGCAGCTTTTATCAACTGCGGCCCCCCCAGCCCTTATCAGCACATTGAGCACTGGTGCTCAAAGGTCAGCGAGCAGCAGCCAACACGACAGGGACAGTGCAGCAAGTACTGTATTTGGAGGGCACAACCAGTGAGATGGCTGCGGCTGGTGTCCCAGCATTTTGGGATGCGTGGAGCCAGGGCTGAGCATTGGGGTGGGCTCAGTGCCACCAGGTGACGGCTCGGCGCTGAGCTGGGGGGTGATGGTGACAGCAGAGCCCACTGTCACTGTGCTGTGTGACCCCCCAGCACAGATCAGAGAGTGCCCTGTGCCACCCATGCCACCTGGGACATGTCATTCTTCATGTATGGCTGCTCCGGGGCACAAAAATGAGCTGGGTGGAGGCACAGCCATCTCCAAAACAGCAGAGCAAACAGACACGTGATGCACAGAGCCGCACTGCAGTGACACAACGAGGGACCTTTGGCCCCCATTGCTGATGTCAACACAGCCCCTCAGAGCTGTAGGTTCATGGGAACCACTCCCATCTCCCAGGTCTCCACGCAGGGACCCCTCATCACACATCACCATCCCTGCATACCTGCCCTAGCCCTGCAACTCCTGGGACCTGTCCCCACACCCTCCTTTCCCCACAGGTCTCCACATGCACTAGTAGCAGGCAGAACAGCAGGGGACTTTGCACAGGACGCACACCATGCTCACATGCTTCTCTGTTTATAGATGTAATTTTGAGAGATAGAGGGATGAGCGCGGAGGTGGGGTGAGAAGAGCATGGGGGCACGGGGCCGTGCTCATTGTGAGGGTGTGAACTTGCAGATGAAGTGGTGCTGTCGGTCACAGTCAGCACTGGACCACACGGTGAAACCTATGGGAGAGATGTGCCATGGGGTCAGCATGGAGGGGGCAGCAGCTCCCAGGTCCCCTCTGCCCAAAGGGGTCCCATAGGAGAAGGAAGCACGCGGGCTGTGAGCACTCACTGCTGCTCCGGGTCAGCAGGGCACAGCTTCCTCCTTGGGCACCATTCCCAGGAACCGTTGGGAGGTCATCGTACTTCTCCCCGTGGGTCCAGCGCCAGTCCCGGCTCTGAGCAGGACACAAGGTTAGGAGCCCAGCCCCGCTGTCCCCAGCCCCATGGGTACTGCCAACCCCTCACCTGCCGCAGGTAGTGGAGGCCCAGCCAGACAGGCTGCGAGCGCTGGTAGTACATGATGACCTGGCTCAGCGTGGCTGCTTCCTTGGGCTCCTCCACCCAGGCAAGGTGGGCTCCAGAGTAGGTGTTCTGGCACTGCGCCTGCAGGGAGACGCGGAGCATTGCAGGACCCCGGCACACCCAGAGCTGGGGGCAGCCAGCTGCACACCCTGACCACCTTTACCTCTGCCTCCTCCCAGGTGCGGTGCTGGGAGAAATACCTGAAGCAGTTCAGCTTGTAGTAGGACCAGCCTTCAGGGCAGCTCAGCAGGTACCGGGCTCCTGGCAGAGGTGGGGATACACGGACAGGGGTTCAGCTCCATGCCCCCACCCCGAGCCAAGAGCATTTCCCCGGGACTCACCGACCACCTGCAGGAGCATCATGCAGCACAGCAGCAGAAGGGCACACCTGGCTGCCATCATCCTTCTCTCCTCTGCAGGCGTCCCCTGTAAGATCCCATGGTGTCAACAGGTGCCTCAGGCAGGGCTCGGAGTCCCTGGGCAGACCCAGCCCCGCCACTGCCAGCAGTGCTTTGGGGGATGGCGCAGCCACCTGCATGGGCGAGGGACCCATGGCTTGTCCTGCCCGGGGCAGCAGCAGTGATGACATGAGCAGACAGGGATGCTCAGGCCACAAGGCCTCTGTGCATCACTGTTCCTCCTGCTTGCGTCCATGCCAGGCTGGGGAGGCAATCGGCTGCCTCAGTGCAGCTCCCCTTTATGTGCGCTAATCGCCAGTGCTGGGGATCATTTGCAGACTCAGCTCATCTTCCTCTCCAAGAGACAGCAACAAAAGTTGGCCTGAAGACCACAAGGCTGCAGCGTGCCCTGTGCCATAAAGGCAGCTCTCATCCCCCTGAACACCCCGAGGCTGTGCTTGGTGGCAGCCCTATCCTCACCTGGCACACGGAGATGGGAAGAATAACGGCCCCTCGCGTCCGTGGTGCAGGAGGAACTGCCCTATATAGCCCCATGCTCACTGGAGTCACTGTTTGCACAGCTCAGATGATTGCCACCATAAAAATCTTAGGGCTCACTGCCCACATCCCCCGACCCAGCTGGAAACCAGCCTAGATCTCAGCTCTGTTTGCATTCAGCATTTCTCCAGAAAAGACAGGAAGGACCTCTCCTAGTTGGTCAATAAACCCCCTGCAATTAGCATTAATTACCAGAGCAAACAGAGCAGTGTATACGCAAAACCCAGCCTCGCACCTGCCGGGTGCCCATCTGGAATAGCACGGGGTGGCAGGGACAAGCCTCGGGGAGGCCAGCCGTGGGCAGCATGATGGATGGGATGGGGCGGGATGGGACGGGATGGGGTGGCAGCCAGCAAGGCCTGCACCCCTCCCAGCTTGCAGTGCGTCAGCCCCGCACCGCCCTTGTTTGATCTGCCTGGGCACCTTTCCGGCAGGATGCAGGGACAGCCTGCGGCTGGACGCCATCAGATAGCGGGCAGGTGGCCGTCCCCACACCCTGCACTGACGCAGGCTCTGCTGGTCCATGTCCATCAGCTCCCCCGGTCGCAGCCCTTGCTGCAGAGCTTCGTGCCACCGTGCTGGAGCCACTGCAGGGCTCTCCCACGGTTCCCAGAGCACTGTGGTGGCTCAGCCTGGCGTGTGCAGGCAGGCCTGGTTCTGGCGGCCCTGGGAAGAGGGCACCACTTATGAAAAAGCATGAAAATACCCCCAAGGAGCCTGAGGCTCCCACAGTTCTCCTTTCATTCAGTGATGCCTGCCTGGCTGGTTCCTTCGGGCCTGTTTGGAAGCGGCAGAACAGGTTCCCAAAGGCCGCTCCTCACTGCATGCAGGGGACGAGGCAGGTCTCAGCCTGAGCACCCCAACTACTGCAGCTGTGCAGGGCTCAGTCCCCAAATGTGGGGCAACCTGTGGGAGGGGGGCGAGCTGCTGGATGCTCCTACTGGTTGAGCTGGCTCTGCTGGAAGAGAAAGGAGCGAGAGAGTTCAATATTTGAACAGTGAAAATGCCTCCCAGCAGCTTCATTATCCCTCCTGGGCATCTTAATTCAGCGAGCAGCTCCACCAGAGCCCACAGCTGAAAACCCGCCAGGGGAGCACACACTAAGCTGAAGGCGCAGGGGCAGCTCCCTGCTCAAAACACAGCAATGGAGCCATCGGCAATTTGTTCCCTCATTGCTCAAGTCTGAAATTTTCCAGACCTGAAAATGCTCCTCCCCATCCACTCCAGAACACGCACACAGCTGCTAAGCCCCTTCTCAGCACACAGAGGGCCCCAGGTCCCTTCTGCTAAAGGGAGCTATGCAGTGAGGTTTGCATGCTGCTGAGCCATGGCAAAGAGCACTCAGCCTCCAAAGCTTTCTCCCATCCTGGTCCTAACGAGCCCGCTCTCATTAGGGCTCTGAGAGCCGCCCCACACAGGGCATGCCTCACTAATCCTATCTTTGCAATCCAGTGGTTGTGTCACAACAGCCAAGAGGACAAATGAAAACAGCAGCACGCAGACGCCGGGCAAGTACTCTTTATTCTGGGGATAAAAATTGCTTATACAATTTGCAGCAACTATTTTCATAAAAGACTTTTATAAAAAAAAAATGTAAAAATAAGCAAATATTTTCCATTATTAATATAGGAAAATGCTGCTGTGTGAATGGTTGCTCTACAACTTACGAGTTAAAATACCACCTTAAGGAGATATTATCTTTACAAGTAGTTAAAAAAAAAAAAAAGGCAGAGGGCCATCATATTAACACACCAGGCACGAAACTGGCTTCATTCCACAGAAAGCACTCATCTTGTAAATGGTGGCCACATACATAAAAAGGCACTTGGTTATTTGGGGCCAGCAGGCCCTTTGTTCTTTAGCACGGATGTAGCAACACTTCATTAAGCACAGTGAAACGTGTACCTCAACAGATCCCTGGGAGCGCTGGGCCCTGCCGGACATCTGAGTCAGCTGCAGCAGAACTTCACAGTGCACACTGTGCCAGTGCGACGGGAACGCTGTGCGTGTCGGGAAAAGGAACTTCAGAGTAAAAACTTCAGCCCAAACATGGCCCCGGGAACACGCTCCTCCTGAGGCCCTGCCTTCATGTACCATTGAGCGGAATGGAAAGAAGAAAAAGCTTTACGCTGGATTAGAATGGAAAGGAAGGTGGGAGAAATACTGTACACGGTAGGATGCTCACGCACGAGCGGCCACCTCCGGATCTCTTTGGAACACGAGTCTGAAGGGTTCCCCTGAAGAGGCAGAAGCAAACCACCCCCAGGAACGTACACTGCTATTCTGCCTGGCTTACAGCCCTTCAGGGAAGCACTGGCTTGCAGACAAGGGAGAAGTGGCGGTGTCCCACTGAGGTCAGCTGCTTCTCTAACTCCAAAAACACGGGGGAGCTGCGGTACCAACGCCACGGCTGTCCCATGGAGGAAACTGCGACACAGGCTGAAGCTGAGGACAGAGGACAGCCCCAAACCCAAGAACCAAACTGTGTTAGAGAGCTGTTTGTGAGCAACTTGCTCCACTGCTGGCCCAGCTCCTGTTGCAGCTGCCAGAAGGCTGCTTGGGACTCAGTGCAGCAGCTTCCCGTTGCTAGGGCAGCACAAGGCAGTGTCGCCACAGGACTGAAGCAGAAAAAACACTGCAGAAGGGCCAGACGCTATTCCTGTCACACAGGGACAACACTGCAGACATATAATGATGTCCTTAATATTGCTCAGTAACACCCCAGCGAGGCAGCATACAGTGTCTGTGGGACAGGAGACAGCAACCCTCGGGTGGAGGGGAGGGAGTGCTGTGCAAGAACGTTGGAAGCTGATGCTGTTAGGTCTTGAGGTGCTCCTGCTAATCCCAAGAGCTTCCCAGCAGGCCTCTATTACTTGCAGGCATCTCTTCCAATCCTGGAGCACGTGAAGGCTGTCACAGACACACCTGGCACAACTGGGGGTCATTTGTCACCATGGTCAGGTGTGTCTCAAGGAAGATATACAACTTGGGAGAGATGCACCTGCAGGCTGCTGCAGGGGGAAGATGGGTCAGACCAGCGTTTTCAGGAGGATAATTAAAAAAAAAAAGGCTTAAGAGAAGACTATATGTATATATATAACCTTGGAATACCATGGGGGCAGGCAGTGAGAATGGTAAGGGGCATTAGTGGGTTCATATAAGAAAAAGGTTCTCTCAGAGTGAGTTGAAGCTGCGTGAGAGAAGGTGGTGGCCGCAGTCACTCAGGCTGCAGCTGGCCTGGAGAGTCTGGCTTGCTTGCTGAGCAGGGGGAGCCACAGGATGGAGGGCTCTAGGAATGTGGGTGCAGCTCTGAGCTGTGTCAAAACAAGGCAGCCTGAACTCAAGGAGAACTAGTAGAAGGTGCTTCAGAGATAGATTATGTAGGTAACAAAACTAGTAACAAAATAAGGATACAAAGCTGGTTTTGGCTAAATTTCAGGAGAAACAACCATGAGATGCATTAAGCTGAAGAGCTGTCTCCCCAGATACATGGTGGAACACATTTAAAAGCAGACTGGAGAATCCAGTGCAGACAGCAATCACACCCAAAGTGGATGGCAGTTGGTTAGAAGTGATCCAGCTGGTCTTCTCCATCACCAGCTTCTACAGTTCTCTGCTTAGAAAAGCATAAAAGCCTACAGCAACCACAGTCCCTCCGATGAAAGAAAATCCTGGGCTCATTAAGACTCTTGGATACTAAAATGGTTCTTCATTTCCATCCTGGAAGACCTTCATGAGTTCTGACGTCCACTTTAGTCGGGCTCCACTTTGGCCAGCCTTCAGGCGTACACCTGCATGTTGTTCCTCTGCTGCTCTGGCATGTGAGCGGCCGCCGGCCCACGCTGGTTGTTACCAGGACTGGTTGCCACGTCAGACCAGTCAGAAGCAGAGTGTGGGGAAGAGCTGGACCACTGGTCTGGAGATTCAGGCGATGGAGTCAGGTATGGGTGCTCCCCTTGTAAGTGCCGGTTGTGGCTAGGAGTCTGTTCTGTGGCCGAGGAGTAACAGCTGTGCTGCGACGGAGGCGTGGGGTACTTCCCCATCGAGCTCTGGAACTGGTGGTAAGCTGGGAGGATTGTTTGAGGCACCTGCCCGTCCTGCTGAGGGATGGCAGCCATGGAGAACGAGGCGCTGGGCAGCTGAGCTAAATCTGATATCTGGTACATGGAGCTAAGAGGGCCAGCCATGTTCTGAGCGCAGTTGGACTGGGCCTGCTGTGGCAGCGCTTGCTGGTTTATGCCACCCTTGGGAACCAGCTGGAAAGTCATGATAGGGGGCAGAGACTCCCTGGACACTCCCAGGTGCTTCGTATCGGCTTGAACCAAACCGCTCTGCTGAGAAACACTGGGGTGCGAATGCATGACCGGCGGCACCATGCCGAACATCTCGTTGTACTGGGATTCGTTCATCTCCATGCGATTCATCCACTCGGTGGAAACGTTGGCCGGCCGGAGCCTGCCGAGCCC